AAGAATTCACATTGCTTGGTTCTGCAATCAACACCAGTGGAAACAGTAGTCAGGACATTAGATGGTGTATAGCACTGGGCAAGTTGGTTGCAAAGGACCTCTTTCAAGTGCTGAGAAGCAAATATGTCTCCTTGAGGACTAAGGTGCGCCATGGTATTTTCAATCACCTCATATGCACGTGAGAGCTGGACAATGAATAAGGAAGATCGAAGAAGAATTGATGCTTTTGAGTTGTGGTGCTGGTGAAGTACCATGGACTGTTAAAACAACAAACAAATCCATCCTGGAGGAAGTGCAGCCAGAATGCTCCTTGGAAGCAAAAATGGCCAGACTTTATGTCACCTACTTTGGTCATGTTGTCAGAAGGAACCATTCCCTGGAGAAGGATGTCATGCTTGGTAAGGTGGAAGGTTGACGAAAGAGGGGGAGGCCTTCAACAAGATGGATTGACAAAGCAGCTGTGGCGATGGGCTAAAGTATAGCAAGGATCATGGAGCTGGCGTGGGATCGGGCAGTGTTTTGTTCTGCTGTGCATGGGGTCATTGTGACGCAGAAATGACTCGATGGCATGTAACCACAACAGGAAATCAGTCTGTCAGAAGACTTCACACTCCTGCACAGACAGACAGACAGGTGCTACCCCCTGGGGCAAAGCAAGGGAGGGAAGAGGTGGAGTCTGGAACAGCAGAGACTGGCCAAGGCCGACAGCCTGCAGCTAGTGTGGTGGGCGGCCCAGGCACACAGACGCCGCGGCTGGCTTTCTGAGGCCTGGACTCTCGTGGTCAGGTGGGAGAAGCAGCTGCCCCATTTCCTGAGTCTCAGGTGAGCCCCACGGGGCTCTGCTCTTGAATCCCTACACTTTTTTCTCATCAAAATTAAATGAAGAAAGAAGACATTTAGGATCCAGTCTGGGAATGAGAGTTGGGAGCTCAGAAGCTTCTTAGAGATCCTGGTGGTAGAATAAAGAGGATCTTCTAGAATCGGGAAAGAACAAAACTGGAGGGAACAGTGTGCAGTGTGGTGGGTGAGCTGGCCTTGCGGGCACGGGCTGTTTCATTGATTGCAAGCTCAGAATGACTCAGCGGTTTGGAAGGGCTGCACTCGGATGAAATCCCTGTATTCACTCGCGGAACACGGGCAGGAGAGGTCGGCACTGGCTGCTCCTCGGAACCGCACAGTGCCCACCTGGAATACAGAGCGCACTCGGGGCGTGCCCCTTTAGGGAGGACTGGGGGACTGGAGTGGTTCCCCCCAGAGCAGAGCACACTCAGGTCTCTGTCTCCTGTTTTCTTAAGGGCTGTGCCATAGGAAAGTGAAAAACCTGATTCTCTATCTGTTCCCTGAGGGTGGAACTAAGGTGCATTCCTCACGGTGACCGTCCCCTCCTCCCTGAGCTTATCCCTCTGCCTCAAACCCTGTCCTGGGAACTTAGCAAGGAGGGTTTGCAAGCGTGGGAATAGTCTAATTCAGACGTGTCTTATATGGGCGCTGGGAGGACCTGGTCTAACGGCCAGCGCATCTCAGCCTTGTAAAATGGCGAGTGTTTAGACAAGCACACAGCAAGGAGACGTGCCCGGTGGGAGAAGCAGTGCCCTGACAGAATGGGCCGGGCCGGGGAGAGTGGCGGCAGTGAGGTGGCAGGTGTGGGCGCCGGCCTGCCCGGGACTAGACTATTCTGAGGACAGTGGGAGCTCCAGGGAGAGGAGACCAGCCCGAAGCAGAGGTGACGGGGAAGTTAACAAGTTCCTTTATCAAGCCCCTACTATGTACCAGTTCCGGGTCTAAGCGCTGGGGACACAGAGCAGGAGAAAGAGAACACACTGCACACTGTACAGGCCCCGCCTTCGTGGAGCTCTGGCGAGGAGAAAGAGTGAACACGAAGAGGGTAAGGCGCTCAGGTCCTGACCAGAAGGTCAGCGGTTCAAACCCACCAGCTGCCCCATGGGAGACCGATGAGGCAGTCTGCTTCCGTAAAGACTGACGGCTTGGAAACCCTATGGGGCAGCTAGCTGGACTCTGCTCTGTAGGGGCGCAGTGAGTCGGAATTGACTCGATAGCAGTGGGTTTAAGATAATTTGTGCTGGTTTAAAAAAAAAAAATAGAAAATAAAGCCGGAGCTGCCTCGGAAACCCAAGGAGGGGTCACTGTGCGTCAGGTCCGACTCGACGGCACATAACAGTGGGATAGAGAGGGACTTGCCTGAGGCCCTGGGTGGACGCCATTTGGAACAGGTGGTCAGAGAAGGTCTTCCTGAGGAGGTGACATTTGGGCTGGTACCTGAACGTTTAAGGACAGAGGCACCATGGCTGGAGCGTAGTGAGTAAGGGGGCATGATGGGAGATGGTCGGGGGTGCTGGCTGTGCACTGACGGGGGGCAGGAGGGCGTGGCTTGAAACTGGCCCCAGGAGGTGGTTCTGGAACACCTCCCTAATGGATTGTGGTCCCCCAGCCCCTTAAAATTCACTGACATAAATGAAAATTACGAGGGACAAGGAAGCCTGGTCTGATACCATTTCAGTGTGGTGTGGTGTGAGATCATTGGCCCTCAGTCACACTCTGCGTCAGGCAGGTTGCAGGCTCTGCCTCTTCTGGGTGACCTTGGGCTAATGACGTATTCTCTCTGCAGTTCAAATTGCCTGCTTGGTCAAGTAAGGATATGAAGTCTTGCCTCACACGGTGGCTGAGCCACGGGTACTACACCCAGGGCTTTGGGCCGTGTGGATGTGTGTGGCGCCACCTGGTGCCCATCCAAGTGTTTACAGTATGGGCAGCGTTGACTGAGAGGCAGCGCGTACACAGCCCGCCCCTACCATGAACCGTGCACTGCCTCATAGTTTGGGGGACGGGATCCGAAGATGAGTTGAAAGGAGAGGCCGGATGTTGGGAACACATCTCTGCAGAGGGAACAGGCTGGACTCAGGGTCAAGGGCCGAGCCGTGGAAGGACAGCTGGTGCCGGCTGTGTCAGTGGCCCCTGTGATCGCGTTTGCTGAGGAATGAAATGGTGCTGCCTGGGGGGGGGCAAGGACCCACCGCACTGAGGCCTGCAAATCTTCGAGTCTGAGTCCAGGTCTTCAGGGCTTAGAAACAAAGACAATGGTCATTCCGCCATTGCCAGAAAGGGAGGTCATCAGGACGTCATCACCAGAGAAGGACTGTGATGAACCGTACAAAATAACCCACTGAAGGGAAAGCAGGACCCTAAGGCAGGTCGGACAGAGGGCCTGGAGTTGACTGTGGGGAAGTCTGAACCTGAGCTGCGCCAGGGAGGGGGTGTGGCCTTAGACTGGAGAGTTGACCCTTCAGATACACCCACGTTGGGAGTCAAGAGAATGAAGACAGGCTGAAAACCAGGAGGTGCGAGACAGGTAGTTCCTGAGGAACAGCAGGAGGGAGCGCAGCGTCCAGGCCACACACGTCGATGACCCCCCCACCCCCTTCAGTTCCTGCAGCCCAGGGTCTGGCTCCGCCCGCTGGGTGTCATTTTCTGTCTTCGCTCCCATGCACTTCAGTGTCTGTCTGTGTGTCTGACCCGTCTCCATCCCTGTTGCCACAGGGGGTTGTGCTGAGAGCCGACCGGTCCTGCGCTACAGCAAGGAGCAGAGGCCCACCACGCTGCCCATCCAGCCCTTCGTGCTCCAGCACCACTTCCCCAAGCAGCTGGCCAAGGCCCGGGCCCTCCACGGCCTTTCCCACCTCTACAGCCTCTCGGGCTGCGGCCGTGCACAGCAGCCTGCCCCACTGGCCGCCCCCGCTGCTCAAGGCCCGGCCCCAGCTCCCTCGGGCGAGCCCCTGGCAGCCTCTTCCCGGAGCAGTGACAGAGGTGGCAGGAAAGCTGGGCCCGAGCCGGAGACCTCGCGGCCGTCCCCACTGGGCAGCTACTCTCCCGTCCGGAGTGCCGGCCCCTTTGGGCCCAGCACTGACTCTTCCGCCTCCACTTCCTGCTCCCCTGCTGAGCAGGCCCCTGCCTCCGGAAGCCCACCTGTGTGGAGCCACTCTCCTCCCCCTGCTGCCCTCCCTGATACCTGCCAGCAGCCCAAGGAGGACCAGAAGCTGCTGACCTTGGCTGAGTACCGGCTCCATGGAACAGGAAGCCTGCCCCCTCTGGGCTCCTGGAGAACTGCCCTCAGCCGAGCTGAGAGCCTGGCCCGAGGCGGTGGTGAGGGTAGCATGGCTTCCAGGCCCAATAATGGTATGACCTTCACCCCACCCCGCTCCTCGGCCACTTCTCCCTCCTTTGGTTTCTTGGGCTCTAGCCTGGGGGCAGGGTCAGAAGGTTGGCGTCTCTTCCCGTGTCTGGGGATGGCATCTCCATACTCCCAGCTCTAGTGTTTGCTTTGGGCCGTGGGTGGCTGTGCTGTGCCGTCTCCTGCTAACGCTTGCTCGTCTGTCTCTTCTGTGACTCTGTCTTGGTTCCAGCCAACCACCTGTCACCTCAAGCTCTCAAATGGCGGGAATACAGGAGGAAGAACCCACTGGGGCCACCTACTTTGGCAGGGAGCTTAGACCGAAGGCCTTCAGAAGCTCAGCTGGCCCGAAGAAGCTCCTTCTTTGAGTTCCCCAGTTCTCTCAGTGCTGCTGGCCCTCCGAGCTGCCGACCAAACGGTGTGTGGGCAAGGTCCTCAGCACAGCTGGGGAGGGCTGGGGCAGGGGCCGCGTCTCAGGGCACGAGGCATAGCCAGGGCCGGCCACGCCACAGCTGGGAAGGGCTGGGGAAGGGGCCGCGCCTCAGGGCACGAGGCATAGCCAGGGCGGACCACGCCACAGCTGGGAAGGGCTGGGG